CTCCAAGACACCCGTCGCTCCCACCTCCACCTCCGAGACACCGGTGTTGCAGTCCACTTCTTCTCCACAGTCCTCGTCTTTGGAGATTAAAGTTGATCGACAAAGACGACCCGGACGTGTTGTTGTAAGTAGTCCATATCGAACCGAGGAGAACAGTCGGTATACCAAAAATAAGGGCGAGTTTGAACGGTTCCTCAAATCCACGAATAATAAAATGTAAGTACATCCAAAAGATCTTTTATTGTTTATATTTACAAAAATAACTTTCTATTATATTATTTAATAGGAGGAATGTCGGCATTCCATATGAGGTGGACAATGGGTGGTTTCAGGATTTGGTTAATCCGAATGAAATGATGTTTGACGAGGTATGTATATGTTTGTCTTGTAATATCTTAACATATAAAAATGAATTGATGGAGATGTTTGGTTTGATTTTATAAAACAACACGTTGATACATACTTGGGGATTATGCAAAGCAATCCACTCTTTTTGGACTTAGAGCCACGGGAAGATATGTTGGGCACTTACACCATCGTGTCGACTACGTTTTTTGTGAGATTATTTTAATCTTTTCTTTTTTCCTTGTCATTTCACTTTTATTAGTAATTATATTAATAACATTATTATCTATTATTTTGTTGTATCTTATATAGATGATGCTTGATGAATTGGAGAAGGAGATCGATAAGAGGGGAGTGGACCCGGCCTCGGAGACCCTCCATTCTTTGATTCGCATTGCGAGTGAGGGGGTCAGCGGTTGGGGGAATCCGTGTCCTTGGAGGGGGATTCAATCTGTAAGTTTTCAATGATTCCGAATCAATTAATATTGCAATCTTTCCTAAAAAATTAGTGAATTTCTCACAACTCAATGCAACAGATTATTGGAGTAGTGAATTTGTCCAACCACTACGTGACTGTCCAGATCTCTTTACTCAAGGGGACGATAAGTGTGTTTGACCCTATACAGCATACGTATTTAGAAAAGAAGAACGAGCACATTCGCGAAAATCGCGTCAAAGGACTCCAAAAAATCCAAAATCTAATTCCAGTGGTTGCGACATATGCGGAAGTAGAGGGAGTGAGCAAAAAGTTTGAATTGGAATTCGAGGACCCCAAAAATACTTTCTTGCAACATGATAGAATTAATTGTGGTGTATGCGTTGTGGAGATGGTACGGACATTGCTTACGAGGAAGATAAGTTTCAAGAAGTCTAAGAAGGAGTTGGCTAAAGCAATGAGGCACAAAATTGCTCTACAAATTTTTCAGTTTAGTACAGAACCAGACACAATTTCCGACCCGGAAGAAAAAAAGGTTAAATTAAAGCATTATCTCTCATACATTAGTAGGAAAGCGACAATGTATGTATATATGTATATGTATGTATGTATAGGTAGAATAAATAGAAGAAAAATTAGCTACTAAATTGAGAAGCTTCCTCCCCACCCCCACCTCCCACCCCCACCTAAGCAAATAGGTAGCCCATTTTTACGTACATACATAATAGATACACGCAGAACAAATTCTCTCTCTCTCTCTCCACAATCCTCTCTTTTCCTTTCTTTTTCTCTCTCACTGCTTGAGAAAAAGTCAACAACCCAGTAGACGAAAATATACAGATCATGAGCTAGAGGGAGATATTCTTTTCTTTTCTTTTTTTAATTTTTATTTTGAAAAAAAAAAAAAAAAAGAAATTGAAGACAATTTTATTATTTTTTTTAAAAAAAAAAAGAAAAAAAATGAAAATTGGGCATATGGGGTTAGATATTTGATATATTTTTGGTTTGGTATAATTTAAATATGGTGGGTGAAGGAGAAAGCACAACGAGGAGGAGGTCCGGGTGAAGTGAAGTGAATCCCTCATTTGCTCCAGAAATAAACAAACATGATATGCTGCTATACTATCTTGTGTGAACCCTAGCCAACCACATATACATACAACATAGTACTACTGCTATGCTACACACTACTCTTTCTTTATCTCTCTCTCTCTCTCTACTGTCATAATTACTAAAGATAGATTTGAGTGTTGCTATTGTTCTTCCTCTTCTTCTTCTTCTCTTTGGCCACATCAATAGATGAAAAATCAATTGTAGAGTGGGTTTCTGGTGATTAAATAAAAGAAAAAAAAAAAATTATCAAATCAGGTGTGGTATTGTTAGATCTGTGGATGAATATGAATTTAATGGGAGGGTTTTACAAGCTGGAAGGGGAAGAAGAAGATGCAGCAGCGACAGATCAGGTGGAGAGGGAGCACATGTTCGACAAGGTCGTGACTCCGAGCGACGTGGGGAAGCTTAACCGGCTCGTGATCCCGAAGCAGCACGCGGAGAAGTACTTTCCCCTCGACTACTCTTCATCGTCATCGTCCGGTGAGAAGGGGCTTCTCCTAAACTTCGAGGACAGCAACGGCAAGTCGTGGAGGTTCAGATACTCGTACTGGAATAGCAGCCAGAGCTACGTGATGACAAAGGGGTGGAGCCGTTTCGTGAAGGAGAAGAAGCTAGATGCTGGGGACATAGTCTCCTTCCACCGCGGCCCGGGAGACCGCCTCTTCATAGACTGGCGCCGCAGGCCGGATGCTCCAATAACACCTCACTCCGCACAGCGCCCCTCCTTGTTGTTTTTGCCTTCTCCTTCACACGGATACGGATACGGAATAGTGACAGGGAACCCTTGTCCACCCTATCTGATGAGCAGGCCTATTAATCCTCCTCTGCTGGCCTGGCCTCACATCAATCATCCCCAGCATCAACAACAACAACAACAACAACAACAGATGGTGTTCGATTCAGTGCCTGTGGTGCAAGGGAAAGCGGCTGCAGCCAATTGCAAGCGACTGAGGCTGTTCGGGGTCAACATGGACTACTGCCCCACAGATGATGATAATATTTCATCATCCATCCCACTGCAATTACTGCCCTCATCATCATCATCTTCTTCAACTCTCCCTCACCACGATGATAATACTACAAAAGGGAAGGCCTCCGCCTCCATGTCGTTGGACTTGGATATCTGAAGAAAATCAAGACAGTATTCCCACATATATATATATATATATATATTTCACATCTCTCTCTTTCTCTGCTTCTTTCTTTTTCTTTGACACTTTTTTTTCTTATCCCTACTACCTAGTGCTGCTTGTAAGATCCATGGAATGATGATGATGATGATGATGATGATGATCTTCATTTTTTCTTACATTATAAATACATCATATTTTTGTGTTATTTTATGTTTTTTGTTTTATTTACGATCTACACTAGTGCTTAATTAATTACCAATCTTTATTTAAATTCTCACAAATTAATCAACAGGATATAGGATAAGCAGCTGATCAGTAGCTGAAGCCCCCATCCAACATAATTATATATTTATTAACTCGATCATATACATTAATTCCTTTTTTAAATCTTTTTCTTTTTCTCTACTTTCTTTTTTTATTTATTTAGTAAGTACTCTTGGTAGGTAGGTTAAATGAGATCTCATTTTATTGGGGTTAAATGTGCACCACGCACGACTGCCCGGAGAGAGAGCGGCTTAATTCATTATTTGTTCCCAAGATTTTGAACAAATGTATAATAAATTAGTATGTTACCTAGCTAGCTAGCTTCATTTTGCTCTTGATCATCATCATTATCATGCAGGCAGGCAGGCAGGCACTGTTTTATTCATCTTCTCTTATTCTGAAATCCTTAATTTCTTTCATACCATATATAACAAGTGAATTAATTGAGTGGATTTAATTGCACTTAATTATGGGCTTAAAATCTCTCAGCCATGACTACATGACAGACTACTACTTTTTTTCTTAATTAATTTTCTAACTAAGGATGGATATTTGGAAATAAATATAATATATTTGGAATTTCTTTGCAAATTCCCCTAATTTGACATTACTAACATTTCTTCTCTTGTTTTCCTGTAAGCATGTTTGATATAAGTGCTTATTTCAGGCTAATGAGTGAAAGACAATTAAAATGGCGACAGTAAAAGGAAGGTACGCCAGCGAGCTACCTAATTACTGTCTGTCACATTTTAATCCAATGATTTTAATTATGAGATGAGAATATATATATATATATGTATATAATGGTTAATTAATTAGGTTTTCATGTATGCTTACATCCACAGTACCAAATAAAAAAAAAAAGTCTTAAATAACAGGCCATTAATTAATGTCCTTGAAATTGGTTTTTGGTCCCTCCTGCTGCTGCTGCTGATGAAGTTGGGTCGATCCCTATACAAATACAAAGATAGATGATGTTACGTAGGGTACTCGTCAATCATGTTCTTGTAGGTATAATTACTCATCTCCTCAAATCAAATGTCCTCTTAATTAATTCCACATCACTGCAGCCTAAGTTTCCATTCGCATGCCAATATTTTTTTGTGGTCCTAACTAAGATATGTGTGCTAACACTGGGCAAAATTTAATAAATGGTCCACTATGTTAGTCATTTTTCGAAAAAGGTTCATCATCTAGGGCGTCATCAAGAATGGTTCACTAAGTTGTCATTTTAATCACAATTCGTACAATAACCAACATAGTGTACTAAAAATGATCATTTTTTGTTGTCATATTTAGTACACTATGTTGATTTTTGTACGACTTAAATTAAAATGATAACTTAGTGAACCATTAATAAAGACGCTTTATATGATGGACATTTTCAGAAAACGGTCAACATAGTATACTAAAAATGAAAGTAGCCGCTAACACTGCATTAACGTCGAAAAAAAAAAAGAAAGAAATCTGTTTTATGTATGTACGTGTGTGTATATATATATATATATGGTATGTCTGCATCTAATATAATATTTGACTTTTATAAAAATAATTATTAAAATTGTTTATGCAGTTTTTAAGACAAATCAAGATTTTATAAGTAATTAATAATTACGTCTAATTATGAAATCATAATTAATCAAGGTATTTTATTTATTAATTACCCTATATATTTACTTTTTGTTGTCCAATAAGATTTAATTAGTGTGAGCATTGTGCTTTTTCGTTGTTATAGTTTTAGAATCACACTCACTCAGTTTCAGTGAGAATGAAAACTGAAATTCGTTATATTATTAAAAGCACAATTACTCAGGTCATGAAGTAAGGGAAAATTAGTTACATTTATTATTTTCATCTTTCTCCCCATTACTCAGTATCCACGTGGCAGTGTGGCCTTGACTTTGGTCGTAATTGCCAAATTTTGGTGACACGTTGGACGACGTCCTTGCAATTTTC